TTTTTTTTGCATTGGTCGTATAAAAGTACTGAAATTGCCCTAAAATCCCGAAACTTGATAAAGAGCGGAAAATTAGGCTCTTTTGTCCAAAACAGATTTTTTGAGCCTAAGTGTATTCATCGCAGAAAGGCAATATTCGTAACTCAGTAACCAGCGTGCTCTCTGAATCTAAAGTGATTTACAGTTTGTGTCCGGAATAGTCTATTACGGTAACCCCCGATCATGGGACTGGTCGAATAATTGTGTTCCAAAATGTCTTTTGAATCAGAGAAAGGAGGAAATGGATTAGAGATTCATTTCGATTCCGATTTGGCAAAAAACACCTTTGAATTTTCTGTACTGTAATTCTGCAGGGATTTCTTCAGGAAACTTCGCCGAAAAATGTGCATTTTCCACAAATTTGTGACTTTTTCACATGTCAGTTCCATGTCAGCTGCGTTCAGCCATACTGTAATACAAATTGAGGATGTTAGGGGAGCCGTTATACGTTGACAAGTTTTGTAAGTCGCTCGGTGAAGTTGATTCTTGCGCGACATGTTTAATCTTTTTGAAAGTTAGAATCATCATCTTCTTTTTCGAACCGCTCACATGCAGTGATATTCGTATTTTACAAATATGGATATAATATATCGCAGGTTTTTTCAGGCGTAACATCTTTTCTATATATGTTAAGTAATATTTCGAGCCTCCCATATAGAGCAACTCCAGGCTTACATTTCAATGAAATCAAACAAACCCTAGTACTTAGAAGGTAAAACACCCGATCATAGGATAGTCTCAACAGATCGCATTATACTAGTCAAAATGTTGTATCCAGTACAGCAGTGTATACAAACACTGCTGTACTAGATACAACATTTTGACTAGTATACATGTCGTAGACAGTAATCTTCGTCCCGACATTGAACCAGAGTGGTCTGGCTTTGGCAACCAGTATGGGTTATCCATACCGGCAAAGCCATCTATTGAAACATTGGGCTCTCGTGGCTTGCTTGACCAATCGGTCAAGTCCATCTACCAAATGTCTGAACCTGCTATTCCTCTCATACTAAGCGGGATTAATATTGCAACAATTAGTCAACACTAGTATTAATCTGTCTCACAACGGTCTGAACCCTTCTCACGTTGATATTAGTGGGTGAATAATTCAAAGCTTGGCCAATTCTGCTTCGTGATAGGAAGAGCCGACATCGAAGAATCAAAAAGCAATGTCGCTATGGACGCTTGGCTGCCACAAGCCAGTTATCCCTGTGGTAACTTTTCTGACACCTCTTACCAGA